CCTCTCCAGGATGAATCTGTTTGTTTTCTTAGCAGTCCATGGTACCGTCAATACTTTTCTCCAGCACCACAGCTCAAAGGCATCAATTCTTCTTCTATCCTCCTTGGTCATTGTCCAACTCTTTTGACATATAACAAGTGATTGTAAAGACCATGGCCTGTATCAGATGCACCTTAGTCTCCAGAGAGACACCATTGCCCTTCAGAACTTTGGAGAGGTCCCTACAGCAGATTTTCCCGTGGCAATATGTCTTTTAATTTCCTGGCTACTGGTGCCAAGAGTGTTGACTGTGGAGCCAAGTAACCTAAAGCTGTGAACAATCTCAATCTCTTCACCATCCATCCTGATGCTGCCAATTGGTCCAGTGGTGAGAAGCTTTGTCTTCTTGATATTGAGCCTCAATCCAAATTGAAGACTGCAGTCCTTGACCCTAAGTGCTTCAGGTCCTCCTGTTTTAGCAAGCAGGGTTGTGCCATCTGCATAATGCAGATTGTTGATGAATCTTCCACCAAACCTAAAACCACATTTCTCCTCATAGAGTCCAGCCTCCTGTATAATCTGTTCTGCATACAGGTTGAAAAGGTATGGAGACAGGACACATCCCTGGCATACACCCTTCCCAATTTTGAGCCATGCAGTGTTTCCTTGCTCTGTTCCGACCACTGCCTCTTAGTCCAAGTATAGGTTTCGCATGATCAAGTGTTCTGGGATTCCCGTCCTTCTCAGAGTCAGCCACAGTTTGTTATGATCCACACAGTCATATGAGCAAGAGCCAATGGTGATGAAGGAAGAAAGTCAAGTTGCTTTGAAGGAAAAAGCAAAAAGTAAGGCCCCAGGAATAGATGGTATACCAATTAAGATATTTCAGCTAACAGGTGCTGCCCTGGACGTGCTCACCAAGTTGTGCCAAGAAATCTGGAGAACAACCTCTTGACCAACTGACTGGAAGAGATCTATATTTGTTCCCATTCCAAAGAAGGGCGACCCAACAGAGTGTGGAAACTATAGAACAGAATCATAGATTTCACATGCAAGCAAGACTCTACTGAAGATTATCCAAAAACAACTGGAACATCAGCAGAGAACTGGGTTTAGAAGGCGTCGTGGTACTTGTAGCTAATGTTAGATGGATCTTAGCTGCAAGCAGGGAGTACTAGAGAAATATCTATCTGTGTTTCATTGATTATGCAAAGGTGTTTGATTGTGTGGTCCACGTATAGGATTTGTATGACAATCAAGTGTCTGGATTCCCATTTTCCTCAAGGTTAGTCACAGTTCACTGTGATTCACAAAGTCAAGTGCCTTTGCATAGTCAATGAAACACAGGTAGACTTTCCTCTGGTACTCTCTGCTTTTTGCCAAAATCCATCTGACATTGGGCAATAATGTCTCTAGTACCATGACCTCTTCTGGACCCAGTTTGTGTTTCTGGCAGTTTTCTGTCAGTGTACTTTTCCTGTCATTTCTGGATAATCTTCAGCAGGATTTTGCTATTGTGTGATATTAGTGATATTGTTTGATAATTTCCACACTCTGTCAGGTCACCAATTTTTTTGGAATGGGAATAAATATGGATCTCTTCCAGTCAGTTGTCCAGGTAGTTGTTCTCCAGATTTCTTGGCACAACCTGGTGAGCACATCCAGGGCAGAATCTGTTTAAATGTCAGTTGGCATTCCATCAATTCCTGAGGCTTTATTTTTTGCCATGTCCTTCAAAGCCACCTGAACTTCCTCCTTCATCACCATTGCTTCTTGATCGTATGTTATTTCTTTAAATTCTTCTGTGTCAGCCAATTCTTTTTGGTACAATGACTGTATATTCTTTCCATCTTCTTTTAATGCTTCCTGAATCATTCAATATTCTGCCTATAGCATCCTTAAGCATCTTTAATGAGCCAAAAATGTGATGTCCAGGGCAAAGATTGTGAAGTGACAGAAGAGGGGATTTTAGAGGATCTGAAGCCAGAGGGCAGTTAGGAGATGTGACCGACCCTAGGTAGAGCTGCTTCCCAGGTCCTAAGCACCAGGGCCCACCCTCAGGCTCCTCTCTCCAGAACCCCAACCTCCAGGCTTCCCACCCATCTGGGGAGTACCATCTTCCCTAACCAAGTGACTTCCTGGAAAGCCCTCTGTACACCCACACTTTGAACCCGAAGTGGTCCTGGTAGGCCTCTCAAAATCATGGACCAACTGGGCCATTTCCTCAAGGCATGGTCATGAGAGATGCCCAGAAAATCTGTACAAGGAGATGTCTTTACACACATGTATGGATGACTTCCAAAGGACCTTGATCAGGAACAGAAGGAGGGAGGCAAGTGCTGCCTCCAGAAAGCCTTCCTTTTCTTTTGGGCCAACTGCACTATGACCAATGAGGCCATCAGTTAAGGAAGACCCTGGCCAACCCACTGGAGCCCTGCTCTCCTCTTGTTCCAGGACAGGGACTCCTCCTGGACCACCAGGTGCCATGCAGTCAGTTCTGACCCATGGCAGCCCCACCTGTGTTACCAGCACAGCTACACAGGATTACCTTCTTAATATTGTTGTGTGTCTTTGAGTCGCTTGTTCAGACAATAAACAGCTCTGAACTCTGCTCTATCCTGAGCCAACCTTATTTTCTCTGAAACACCTACTCCCATGACCCTAGTCACTGAGTAAATATATCTCATCGAGGATCTTCCTCTCTTGCACTGTCCCTCCACCCTCCCAAGCATGGTGTCCTTCTCCAAGGACGGGTCCCTCCTTGCAACATGCCCAAAGTATGACAGAGGAAGCTTCAAAATCCTTGCCTTCAAGGAACAGCTTGGTTTCACCCTCTCCAGGACAAACCTGTTTGTTCTCCTAGTAGCCCATGGTATATTCAATACTATTCTCCAGCACCACAACTCAAAGGCATCAATTCTCCTTCTATCATCTCTAGTCATTGTTTAGCTCTCTGATGCATAGCAAGTAATTGGAAAGACCATAGCCTGGATCAGGTGCATCTTAGTCTCCTGACAAACATAATTTCTCTTCAGTACTCTGGAGAGGTCCCTGACAGCAGATTTTCCTAATGCAATTTGTCTCTTGATTTCCTGGCTGCTGGTACCAAGAGTGTTGATTGTGAAGCCAAGCAAGCCGAACCTGTTAACAATCTCAATCTCTTCATCTATCATGATGCTGCCAATTGGCCCAGTGATGAGGTTTTCTTGATATTGAGCTACAATCTATACTGAAGGTTTCAGTCCTTGACCTTCTGTAGCAAAAGCCACAGGTCCTCCTCAGTTTTGCTAAGCAAGGTTGTGTCATCTGTATAACAAAAGTTGTTGATGAGTCTTCCTCCAATCCTGATGCCACCTTCCTCCCCTCCTGGGATAATCTGTTCCACATATAGATTGATAAGGTATGGAGATATGATACATCCCTATCATACACATTTCCTGGTTTTGAACCATGCACTATTTCCTTGCTTTGTTCTGAAAACTGTCTCTGGGTCCATGTATGTTGTTGTTATTGTTATGTGCCATCGAGTTGCCTGCGACTCATAGCTACCCTATGTACAACAACAGCCCTAAACTCTGCTCTGTCCTGTGCCAATCGTACTGTCTCTGACACACCCATCTCCATTACCCCAGTCACTGAATCAAGCCACCTCATAGAGGGCCTTCCCCTCCTGCACTGTCCCTCCACCCTCCCAAGCATGATGCTCCTCCCCAAGGACCAGTCCCTCCTTACAACATGTCCAAAGCATATCAGACAAAACCTCAGAATCCTTGCCTCCAAGGAGCCACCCGGTTTAACCCTTTCTAGGATGAATCTGTTTTCCTAGCAGTCCATAGTATTCTCAATACTCTTCTCCAGCACCACAGCTCAAAGGGATCAATTCTCCTTCTATCCTCCTTGATCATTGTCCAACTCTCTGATGCATAACAAGTGATTGCGAAGACCATGGCCTGCATCAGACGCACCTTCGTCTCCAGAGAGACACCATTGCTCTTCAGAACTTTGGAGAGGTCCCTAACAGCAGATTTTCCCATGGCAATACGCCTTTTAATTTCCTGACTACTGGTGTCAAGAGTGTTGACTGTGGAGCCAAGCAAACTAAAGCTGTGAATCTCAATCTCTTCACCATCCATTCTTATGCTGCCAATTGGCCCAGTGGTGAGAATCTTTGTCTTCTTGACATTGAGCCTCAATCCATATTGGAGGCTGTTTTGCATAATCACAATCAAGTGTTCTGGGATTCCTATTCTCTTCAGAGTTAGCCACAGTTTGTTATGATTCACACAGTCAAATGCCTTTGCATAGTCAACAAAACCCAGAACATTGTGTATCCTGCCAATGAATTGATTGTGACTCACAGTGACCTTACAGGACAAAGGGGACCTGACCAGGCTCCATGAGGTCTTCTATGGCTACCTTTCCAGAAGTGATGGCACATCTGAGTGACAGCACCTCGGGGTAATAGTACCTCCAAAGAATGCACTGCCCTTTGGCACCACTCAGGAACCCCAGGAAGCCCTCCTCAGTCACTAGATTTGAACTCCACTGACCAGGCCCCTTATCCCCTGCCAGATCATAGAAAGTGAACTGAGAAGGGAAGGCTAGTATATATATATATTCTCTGACCCAAGCTTGACCCTGCTCCACAGAGCCCTTCCCCAACTGTTAACGGGTGCCTGAGACCACTGCAGAGGCATGTGACCCATCCAAGGGCTTTTCCTTCCAACTCCAAAGGGCATTGCCCAAGGTAGCCTACGGGTGGAGGCAGTGGCCGGAAGTCCCCACTAGACTCTTAGCTGCCCCTCCCTTCTAGATTAGAGGAAATTTGCTAATTGTAGCAGCCACTACTAGTTCTCTCCCTTCCCCCACTGCAGCCTTTCTCTCTCCCCTCCCCCTTCCATCCGAATGATAAAGGCCCAGCCCGCCCGCCCCAGCCCAGCTCTCCAGCCTCCCCCTCAAATCTTCTCATAGCCTTAGTGTTCTGTGCCTTGCTGGCTGGCAGGCCCCTACTCGCTGCCAGTATGGGGCCCTTGGGGGCAGAGCCCCCCTCCCAGCCCCTCAAGAGACAGAAGAAAAGATACCTGCGGCATGACAAGCCTCCCTACACCTATTTGGCCATGATTGCCTTGGTGATCCAGGCAGCACCCTCACGGAGGCTGAAGCTGGCCCAGGTGAGAGTGTCCCCCCACCCCCATCCAGCGGGCGGATCTTTCCTCAGACACCCACTAGCTCCCATGGTAGGGCTGGACTCCTTCCCCAAGCCTGGCGGACCTCACCCACTTCCCTGCTGAACCCCACTCGGCTAAAGCAGGCCTGGGCTGAGTGAGGAGCAGCCGCTTCCTCACTAGGTGCCCCCCTACTCGGCTCACAGGGTGGGTGGCTGCCTGTGCTTTCAGATCATTCGTCAGGTCCAGGCTGTGTTCCCCTTCTTCAGGGATGACTACGAGGGCTGGAAGGATTCCATCCGCCACAACCTCTCCTCCAATCCATGTTTCCGCAAGGTGGGTTCTGGTGAGGGTTGGAGCTGAAGGCATCGATGTCCTGGGCTTCCCACCTAGCCTGTCCCTGCTCCACAGGTGCCCAAGGACCCTTCAAAGCCCCAAGCCAAAGGCAACTTCTGGGTGGTCGACGTGAGCCTGATCCCAGCAGAGGCTCTGCGGCTGCAGAACACCGCCCTGTGCCGGCGCTGGCAGAGCAGGGGTGCCCACAGAGCCTTTGCAGAGGATCTAGGCCCCTACGTCCTGCACGGCCAGACCTACCAGCCTCCTAGCCTACCTCCAGCACTCAGCGAGAGCTTCAGCATCAAGTCCCTTCTAAGGGTCCCCAGAGAGGGTCCTCCCTGGCCCCCGCTGCCTGCCAGGAAAAGCCGAGTTTCAGCCAGCACAGGGTGCCCTGTGGATGAGGCAGTGCCCCCTGCCCTTCTGCCTTCCTCAGAAACTCCTCTGTGGCCTTTCTGCTCACTTCCTGGGCCTACAAGAGGCCAAGAGGAGACAGCCCATGGAGGTGCCACTGGGCCCTCACCTCTCTCCCCAGAGCCAAGGGGCTGGCCCCTTCACCTCCTGCAGGGTACCCCAAACACCCAGGGTTTGTCGGGTGAGGAACACAGGGCCCCGCTTTGGGGCCAGCTACCCACCTCCTATTTACCCATCTACACTCCCAATGTGGTGATGCCCTTGGCCCCACTACCACCCACTTCCTGTCCCCAGTGCCCTCCTGCCACCAGGCCAGCCTACTGGGGGGTGACCTCTGAGTCTCAAGGGTCCCCAGGGCTGCTGTGGGATCTAGACACCCTCTTCCAGGGCGTGCCCCCCAACAAGAGCATCTATGACGTGTGGGTCAGCCACCCTGGGGACCTAACCACACCAGCCCCAAGCTGGCTGCTGTCCTGGTGCAGCCTGTGAGTCTGAGGGTTGGGATTATGCCCTCTGCTTGGAGGAGGGTATCTGGGGCCTCATATCACCAGCCATGCTTGGAGTCTGCCATGTTTATTGGACAGTCCTATGGAAGGTGGCAGCCAGAGTGGGCCTAAGCCTGGTCCTGATGTTCAGGTATGCCATTCCCCACCCCCAAGATGCAAGGCTGGAGGAGCAGGACGTGGCCAAAAAGAGCTCCCATCTCCTAGACTGTCCATCCATCCATCCATCACCATCTGTCACTTCCCCTCCCTGATCTGGGCTGGGGGAGGGACAGCCAATGCTGCTCTGGACAGGCAGTCGTCCCTCAGTTATCTGGGAAGGAGGTAGCACCTTTTGGGGGCAGGGGGAGGGAATGGAGACTGGCCCCCAGGTGGCCTTGGGTGGGGGAGACAACAATAAAGGAGCTTACAACATTTTCACTCCAAGTCTAGGTTTTGGGGGCAGGGATGGTGATTTGGGAACCACTCTGAGGTCAGTCTTCTCTGGCTCCCCTGCTGTGCGTCTTGATAACAGCAAATGGTGATAAGGGATAAGGTGGCAGCTGAGGGCCTCTGGCCTACTGGGGGGAGGGGGGGGGGGGGGGGGTTTTTTTCCCGGGCTTAAACCCCCGGGGGGAGGGGGGGGCCCTGGCGGGGGGGGTTGGGGTGTGTGTGTGTGTGTGTGTGCATCTTTTCTCCAGGCTTAAAGCTCCTGGGGAGAAGGGGAGCTCTGAGAGTCAGGGGGCTGAAGAAGCCCAGAAGGCAAGGAAGTTGCATACCAAGACTGGACCTGGGACTTCCCTGTGGCCTCTGCCAGCAGAGGCACAACCCAGGACCCCCAGCACCCAGACTACAGGGGCAGACCCTCTGAAAGAGTAAATTCTCAACTAGAACCGCTATCGGGTCGGGGGCCGGGAGGGCTGCCTGGAGACGGTGTGAGAATACCCGGAGTTATGGGGGTCTCAGTGAGCTGAGTGTCAGTGCTGAGTGAGGAGGGTGTCACAGAGCGCGGGGCTCTCCGGCGCCGGGCTGGCCCCAGCTCCACTTGGCCCACCCGCTCGGCGAATTTGAGTGAGCAGACGGTCTCCCCGAGGTCTCCGGGCCGTGTGGAGATCTGTGAAAAAGTGGCGCTGATGGGTGAGCCCCCTGGATGAGTGGTCCCGGGCATGCAAAAGTTGTGCACACAACCGGCCATCTGTGCCCACCTGTAGCAGCAGCACCGCGGTGGCGCCAGGCCCGAGGGCCGGCTGCAGGAGGCGGGTGAGCTGCGAGTCACGGAAGGGCACATGAGGCCGGCGAGCGCGCAACGCGGCCATGACACTCCCCAGCGCCAGCAGCGAGCGGTTGATGGTTCGGGCTTCCCGCAACCGCTGAGCCTGATTCTTGTCTCCCCGGGATGCACCGGCTGCCACTGCCTTCCAGGCGCGCTCAGACCCTGCCAGATCTACCAGATGCAGGGTACCTGCAGGGAGGAGCAAAGCTGAACTTGAGAGAGGGTGGGGTCCAGGTGAGGCGTGAACTCTGGCAGGCACTCACTGGCAGGGCAGTGAGTGGTACCTGTGGTGCCCTGGCCCAGTGGTGGGGACTCTGCTCGCAAAGTCAGCGTGAGCAGGGCATGGGAGCGAGAGCTGTGCTGGTTCATTGCTGTGGCTGCGGTGACCCGGTTGCTCCTTCCCAAGCTCAGCATCTGGAGGGCAGAGTGACAGGGCTGAGTTGTCCAGAGTCCCCCACTCCAGGTAGAGGGCAGGGAGGGACCTTACTTGGTGCAGCGTCTCCAGGTTGGGCACGTCCCAGTGAGTGAGGCCAGCCACCTGGATTCCCCCCTGGCCTGCTGGGCCTTGCCTCACCACTAGGCGCTCTGGACGCCCTGGGGCCAGGAGGTCCCTGGTGAGAAGAAAGGAGGAGAGACTGCTTCCACTCTGATGCAGTGGGATGCAGGGTCCTGGGACTGAGGAAGTGGGAGGTGGCCTGACCTGACAGCCTCATTGTAGATTTCCACCATGCTCAGTGTCACTCGGTGCTCCCCTCTGGCCCCCATCTCCCTGAAGAGTGACTGCAGGGCTCTAGGAGCTATGCCAGGGTCCTCTGGAGGGCCCTGGGGTGAAGGAGGGTGTCACATCTGGCCTCACATCCCACTACCACCAACTGAGCCCCTGTGCCTCTTTACTCAGCGAGTGGATGCCACCCCACCTCCATGCTGTAGGTCTTCCCAGTGCCGGTCTGACCATAGGTAAAAATGCAGACGCTATATCCTCTCAGACAGGACAGTACCGCAGGCTGCAGCTCCTGGAAGACCTAGACAGAGGGCAGAGGTGGTTGCTGTCTCCCAGAAATCCCTGTGTTCAGGACTCACAGGAAGTGGGAGGGAACTTGGGAGGGTACTTGAGCATCCGGTGTGAGACAGGGCTTGATAGGGATTCAGTGGGGAAAGTGGATGCCCCAGACCGAGGGCATGGGGTGGAAGGGGCTGAGGTTGGGGTGTGGGGGCAGTGAGAAGCAGAGACCTGAGCAGTGGGAGGGAACAGCTGCCATGGCCACTTGCTCTCATCCCTGGGAGGCTGTGAACAGCAAACCTGTCACAGCCAGTTCTGCCCAGCTTGCTGCCTCCTGGTCATCTAAGGAAGCTCTAGATTTGTGTAGATTTGGGCAGTGGGGGGGGGGGTTCTAACTCAAGGCTGTAGAAGCAGCTCCCACACTCTACTTTCCTACCTGAGTTTGGTAGTAAAGGGAGGAGGGCAGTAAGGGGAGGGGGGAAATGAGTTGTCTTTGGTGGCCTGTGTGTGCTGTGGCTCCAAGCATTGCCCACCCTCCCCAGTCTACTAGTTTGCCTGTCTTCATGGCCAGTAATTCCTAGGCCTTCAGGAGGGCCATCCAGTGCCACCCAGGAGTAAGAGGTAGCCAGACATTGCCCAAGAGGTCCCAGCACACTCTGGCTGCTTCTGCATGAGAAGTGACCTTTCCACAGACAAGCTTGGATCAGTGGAGGAGGCAAAGAGAGAGAACCCCAGAAGCTGCTCTCTGTCCCGCTCTCATCAGAGTGGGCAAGGAAGGGGAGGCTGGGACGTCCCTGACTGAGGAACTTGGAGGAGGGTTCCAAACAGAGACAAGGTGGGAGGTCACCTCCTCTTGGGTGACATCTGGAGGGAAGACCCAGTCTAGGCGGAAGCGGCGTTGGCGGCCTCGGTAGCAGGTGGTGACAGTGCCGCCAGGGCCAGGCTCAGTGCTCACCAGGCCACAGGGTGTCCCTGGCCTCAGCCGGCAAAGCACTCGGATACTCCCTGTAGTGGAGTTGTGTCAGTGGGCTGCCTCCTGGGCCAGGCACCCTGCTACCCTGCCTGGCTCTATTCCCAAGTCCGCCCTACCCTTGAGCTCCAGCAGTCGTCCTGGACACCCCAAGGGGGGTGCTGGTTGCTCCTCAGAGAGCTGAGTTCCAGTACCTTCTGCTGACAGCGCTCCCAGGGCCCAAGATACCTGAGGGGACAGAGGAGTGAGGAGGCCACTCCAGCCAGCAAGAGGAGTGCCAACAGCAGTACAGGGATAGTGCCAAGTGCCCCAAAGGGTCATTCACAACTCTCAGCAGCATGAGACCCTCAGGCCCTCAGAGGGGTGGAGTCTGAGGGCCCAAATGCAAGGCTGCCACATCTGCCTACCTACCTCTGAGAGATCTGCACACACTCCTTGGGCACAGGCCCAGGAGTCAGACCTACAGTTGTGGTAGTGGTGGGAGCGCTAGGGACTGTTCTAGAGCCTCCATCAATTTGTGCAACTCTCCTACCCAGTGGAGAAAGGGCTGGGCAGATCCCCAGGGGAAGCCTGGTGAGGAGAGGCTAGCTCAGAGACAGTGCCAGCAGGGTTGGGCTCTGACCTGGCCGCGAGCCTCACTCAAGGAGCCCTGGCAGCTCTGCGTGAAGGTGCTGACCAGCCCTCGGAGGTCTCCACAGCCCTGGCGCAGGCTAGCCATACGCATCCGCAGTCCTGGTGGGATGAGGTGTCATTGGAAGGAAAACATGACCAGGCCATTCCCTGCCCCGCCCGGCCTGCCGGCCCTTACCTGCCAGCTGCCTGTGCACCTGCTGCAACTCCTGCCGGCAGTTCTGCTCTGTCTCCTGCTGGAGCTGCCGGAGGGCTCCTTGCAGGCCCTGCAGTTGGGTTTCCTGGACACCTAGCTGTCCCGCCCAATCCCACCTGTCACTGAGGAAACAGGCCCTCAGCAGGCCCTGCCTCCGCTCCCTCTTGTGCCCATCCTCCCAGCCCTCTAGGACTACGAGCCTGGACTCTGAGGGCTTCTGTGGTGTTCTGGGCCTCCTGAAGCCGGATCTGGAGGTTCACCAGGGCCTCAGCTTCTGCCTGCTGGTGGGACAGGAGCCAGGTGAGTAGTGGTGTTGAGAAGGACCCTGGGCTGGTGTTCCAGCAGTCCCACCCCTCAGATGGGGAGGTCTGGCTAAGCGGGCTAAGTCTCGCTAGCTAAATCTGCCCTCTAGGTCCCTCTGCTCTCCTGTGGTCAGACCCCTGGAGGGTGGGGGCCCAGCACTGACCAAGCTCAAGTCCTGCTGAGCTGCGGGTACCTGGTCCCGGGAGGGCAGCCCAGGTGCCCAGCGGAGCAGGAGCTCTTGCATCAGGGTTAGGCTCTGTCTCAGCGCTTGGTTCTCCAGACACAGGTGCTGGACCCGCTTCTCTGCATCTGTTGCCCCCTGGCGGAGAGGAAAGCCATCAGCGCCTCACCTAGCAGTCCCTTCCGCTCCCCTTCACCCCACCGCCTCACACCTGGTGGTCCCGCGCCCCCACACCCAACCGCAGCCTCACCACACCCAGGCGTAGCCTGCGCAGCTCTTTCTCCTGCTGCTCCAGCTGCTGCCTCAGCTCTTCCAGCTGCGGAGGAGGGAGCATTGTAAGAGCATTCTGTGCAGCCCTACCCTCTGCCATGCAGTTTTCCAGATTCTTACCTGTCCCTGGATGAGCTGCTCGAAGCGATGGCAGGCCCTCTCTTCGTCCTGCTGCCCCTGGGCCTCATCCCTTGGCGTGCCCCCCAAGACTGGGGAAGGGTGGGAAAGACTTTCTTCCAGGGACGGGGATCCTGAGATGGGGTGGACCCCGGTCAGGATTGAAAAGGTCTCTGCTCTGAAGAGGGGTATCTTGGGAGGGAGGGGGTAGGTTTCCAGGCTCTGGGCCTCTCCCCTGTGTGGGGCTCCTCCCAACTTAGGGCCCTTACGCACCCTCTGGAGTGGACAGCTGCACCCCAGAGGCTGGCTGAGTCTCCCTGGGCAAGGCTTGCCTCCCCCTGGGGCTCCGAATCCATGCCAAGAGAGTTAGGAGCTGACTGGTCACTGTCAACAGTGGGGGGCCCTCCACGTGCTGTAAAAGATAAGACCAAGGCAGGGAGTGGGTGAGAGGAGATCTGGAGGCAGGTAGGATAGGTGGTCCTAGGAAAGGAAACACCTTCTAAAGAAGAAGACATCAGCCTTCATGGAATTTGGGTCAAAGGCAGGAATCCTGAAAGCTGACAAGCCCTGTTGGCCCAGTGTCACTGTGGCCTGGCCAGCGGCTGGTTGATATCATCCTCCCTCACTATGCTGTAGGCAGGTATGAGCCAGTCTCTGCCCAAAACAGACGTGAAGCTAGACGCTGCTTGGGTTTCTGTTTTCTCGTTTTGGAAAAGGATGGAGAAAAGAAAAGTCTGCAGAAGGGAGCAAAGCAGGCAGGGAACAGGGCGCTCCACCTGCTCACCTTTCCCACCTCTGGAGGGTTTCCACAGCCCTCCCCAGCCTCCAGGTGGGCAGAGAGGAACTCAGCAAGACGCATGAGAGCTTCTTCCAGCGAGACCTCAGCTGGCCGGCCCTCGGCTGCCCCTGCCAGCCCATCTTCCGACTCAGAGCAGCCTGTGGGGCCAAGGGATGAGAGGTCGAAGCCCTCCACATGTCAGAGGCCAGGCCTCCGCCCCTGTCACCTGTCCCTCCCTCCCAAGGATGCCAGTGCGTCCCCTCCTTTTTGGTCCACCCGTTAGTTATCGCCCGTCCACGGACATCACTTACCCGCCAGGCCCGTCAGCTCGGACCACAGGTGCGGTACGGCCTGGCCGGGGCGGCGGCGGCCTTTGCTGGGCCGGTGGTCACTCTAGGGGGGAGCAAAGAAGCCCTGAGTAGGGAGCAGGCGGCCTGCGTGAGGCATCCTCCGGGAACTGACTGAAGGGGCTGGGGCTGGGGCCGGGGTGTCTGACTTCCAATACCTGAACAGAGACGGGGTTGTTACTATGGCCCCCACCTTTCAGCAGCAGCGCGGGAGGACGCAGGCAACGCCGGCCTGCTCGAGCCTCCTGCTCCCGGCTGAGCACAGCGCCCAGCCCTGCTCACCTGGGTAGAGTCCCCGGGGTCCACGGCTGCCGCGGCCGCGCCATCCCGACGAAAGAGGCTGTAGAAGATGTAGATAAGCAGCGAGTAGAAGGCGTACATGGGAACGCGGGGCGGCAGAGGGACCCCGCTTCGCGCCGCCCCGCGTCCCCGCGCCCCGATCGGCTCCCGCCTGCCGCAGCGCCGGTGCGCATGCTCGGCCGGCCGCCCCCGTGGGCCGCTCCCGCGCGGCGGCGGGAAGCGGGGAGAGCGCCGCCCGAGGGGTCCTCGTCACAGCCGCACCCCGCAGCCGCACATCGCAGAGACCTCGGGCTGAGACCCGAGACCCGCTCATCTGGGCGGGATTCTCCCCGCGCCTAGCCCCCGTCTTCCCCGAGGAAACCACCGTCGCTCCATTGACAGGTGCGCTGCGCTGCCTCTTCCCCTGGTCCGCTCCGCCCCACCCCGCCCAGACTCTCCAGACCCCTCTCTCCTCCCGCCTTCGTTCAGTCCCAGTCCTCGCAGCCCTGTCCCCAGGCACCCCTCCAAGCTCCACGGTCCCCTCGGCGGAGAGTGTCCCCCTTTTGTTTCGAAAGTCCTGGTTGGCACCTCCAGCCGTACCCCTCCCTGCTGCCAGCCTTCCCTGGACTGGCCCTCCTCGCCTGGCTCTTCCGTTAGACGCATACTCTCCTCCCAGTCCTGCCGTTGACCCCTCTGCTCCCCTTCCCGAGGCCCACCTCAGACCCCTCCCCTACACTGCGGCCTTCTCCCCAGGCCCCTCTCCTCCAGCCCCTGCCGCAGGCTCCTCCCAGCCGAGTCCCAGACTCCTCCCCTCCTCCAGTTTCTTCCCACGTCCCGGGCCTCCACCCTCCCGGATGTTTCCAAATCATTCCAATGCTTTTATCCTTAAGGGCTTTTGACTCCTGGAGACAGATGCACGCGCCACAGACCTGGAAGCGTCCTCATAATCCTTCTATGTGTGTGCAGTCGTTGTGTGAATGCGTCTCATTGAGCGTCTTCCCTGTCCTCATGACACAGTAGATGTCCTTCTGATAACATGCCCAAAGTACCAGAGAGGAAATTGTACCGTCCTTGCTACTAAGAAGCATTCTGGTTGCACATTGGTTGGTTCTCTGGCAGTCCACTGCACAATATTCTCGAATATTGTGGACCAGCACCATTATTCTGTTCTTTGGCTTTGAGCTCATTATGTAGCTTTCACTTGCACGTGAGCCAACTGAAAATACGACTTGGATTTTTAATTCTCAAAGTGACGATTTTGGCCTTAAATAGTTGAAAGAATTCCTTTACAGATTTACCTAATACAATATGCCGTTTGATTTCTCAACTGCTGCTTCGACCGACATTGATGATGGATTCGTGTGAAACTTGGCTCTTCCCCCCTCCCCTATTTTTCATGGTTCACTGGTAAGGGGTTTTGTTTTGGTTTTTTGATCTTCATCTGCTGTGCTTCAAGTCCTTTTCCTGTTCAGCGAGCAGATTATGAAGGAATCTTTCTTTTTTTTACTTATTTTAATAATTTAATGATCATTTACAGAGGTTTTGGATTTCCTTTCATTCATTGCTGCACTTCTCTCCCCGCCCAGCCCTCCCCCCCAAGTCTTTAATTCTGATGTCAGATTCTTCTTATATAATACAGTTTGTTGGGTATTTTGCTCAAGAACACACATTGAATAAATATGATCAAAGGAAACAACGCTGATGCACATCTTTCTTGATTTTAAATCACAGAGTATAACCTTGTTCTGTTTAAGCAACTGCCTCCAAGTGCAGGTTCCTCAAGATCCCAGTCCAGTGTTGTGGAATTCCTATTCTTCACAAGGCTATATTTCTTTTTTATTTTTTTAAGGCTGTCCATAACTTCTTATGACTCACACAGTCAAATCCTTTTACAGAGTCAGTAAACACAAGAAAACATTGTCTAGAATTCTCTGGTTCAGCAAAGGTTCACCTAACAGCAATGATATCCCTCATTCTAAGTCTTCTTCTGAACTGGCTTGAATTTCTTGCAATCCCCTTGTCGATGGTCCAGTAAATGTGTGTGTGTGTGTGTGTGTGTGTGTGTGTGCGCGTGCACACACACACACAAGACCGTTTCTTTCTCATATTTTCTCTATTTTTCTTTTAAAGAATTTTTTATTGATTTTCATATAACAATACCTTTATAGTATATTTAATTCATTTACATTGTTTTATACAATTTTTCATTAACATTGTATTTCATACAATCATCCATATACATTCTATTTTACATTTTTTTAAAATTAATTTTAATGAAAGTTTACAGAGACTTAGCGTTTCCAGTCATTCATTGTTGCATTTTTCTCCCTACCCACCTCCTCGCCCCCAATTCACTCTTCTCCTTGAAAAGAAAGAAAAAACTTACTGTTATGCAATCCCTCCCCCCCAAGTCCACTCCACTATGCAGCCTTCACTCTGGACTTCTGTAATGACAATATCCATTCATTTATCCCTTTTAAACGGTTCTCTCCCTCATCTGTTTCAATGCAGTATACATCATTCCTCCCCTCCTTTTCTGTCTTCCCTCAACCCTGGTGTCAGTCTCGTTTTACAACAGTGGCCCTATGCAATATTTGTCCTTTTGTGACTGAGATATTTCACTCAGCATAATGTCCTTGAGGGTCATCCATTTTGAATACTATTTCATGAGTTCCTTGTTTTTCAATGCTGCATAGTATTCTATTGTGTGAATATACCACAGCTTCTCTATCCATTTGTTTGTTGATGGGCACTTGGGTTGTTTCCAGCTCTTTGCTATTGTGAACAAAGCCACAATAAACCTAGCTCTGCATATATCTGCTTGGGTGGCAGTTATGGTTTCTTTAGGGTAAATTCCCAGTAGTGGAACTGCAGAGTCAAATGGTATCTCTATTTGCAACTTTTTCAGAAAGTGCCATACATCCTTCCATAGTGGTTGCACCATTTTACACTCCCACCAACAGTGAATAAGGGTACCAGTTTCTCCACAAACTCGCCAGCATTTGATGTTTGCTGTTCTGCTAATTTTTGCTATTCTTGCTGGGGTGAGATGGTATCTCACAGTTGTTTTGGTCCAGTAAATTTTTAATGATGATTCCCACATTCATTCTTTGGAGTGAATATAAATATGGATCATTTCCCACCCATTAACCAGGTAGCTGTCTTCCAAATTTCCTTGTGCAGACAAATGAGCACTTCTGTTATTGATTCCATTTGTTGAAATATCTGTTAAAATGTTGTCAATTCCTGGAGTCATGTTTATCTCTTATCCCTTTAGTACAGCATGGACTTTTCCTTCAATACCATGTTTTTAGCATTTAGTGTGTCAAATCTATTCTTGAAATTATTTATTTTTATAAGTCAGATTTTTTTAAATATTTTTGTCATTCTTGAAATGATCTTCATGTTCCATAGGATTAACTCAAGATTGTTGTTTAGTTCTTGTAGACTTGTTTTCATTTGCCTAAACCTAAACTTGAAATTGTTTATGTTATTAAAAGAGAGTAGTTCAAATAAACAGGTAATTTGGTCTTGTAAAATCCTATCAGCCATCTCCAGGACCATTCTATCAACAAGACCACGTGTCCCAGTCCCAAACTGACCCTCTTATTTCCAGACTTCTTATTCCAATAATCAGTAATTATCATCACATCTCGATTCTTCAATCAATTTCAGACTGCAGAGTTGGAAAGAATGTCCAATGTCTTCTTCTTTGGCTTTGTTGCGTAAATCTGAATGATAGCTCTATTAACTAGTCTTTCTTACTTACATGATGTGGAGATTATCCTAGCATTGACAGCATTGTGCTTCAGGGTAGATCTTGAATGCTCTTCAGGCTGATGAATGCTATGTCCTTCCTCTTCAATTTGTCATTACGGAATAACAGTTTATAAGATTGTCCTCAGAAAGGCCAATACCAGTCCATTTTACAGGGTCTTCATAAGCCAACCCGTGTCCTCTCCTGCCAGGACCCCGCCGCCCACTTGTCATAGACCCTCCCAGTCGCCCCGCCCCGGCCCCGCCCCCGGCCGCTCTAACCTCCCCTGCTCTCGCTGGTGGTGGCGCTGGGGCCGGGGCCACCAGCACCCGGCGCTGTCGGTGGACGCAGAGCCACTGGCGGGGCTGAAGGCGCCGCATATTGCTCGGCCTCCCTGTTGCCACTGCTTCGGGGGGGGGGGGGTCGGGAGCTGCGTGCGGCCTGCTGGCGTCCAGAGAGGCCCAGGGTCGGAGGCGGCCCCGGCTTTCCTGAGCGGGCGCCCCTCCACCCCTCTCGCTCCTGCTCCACACCGCCCACTCGGGCACTGGACCCCCGGGGCCCACGGCCTCAACGTCTGCCCAGACCCTACGCCACTCCCCCACACCTTTCCGCACGGTTCGGCCGCGGGTCCAAGTTGAGGATTGGCGCATCCCCAGACCTAGTGCTTGGGCCCTGGGAGCTGCCTTTAGGGCTCCAGGCCCTGGCTTCTGTGCTTTCTTTCTCTCCAAAGTTGAGGATCTCCTTTTGACGTCTCATGAAGCTCATTACCACCATGGTCCTGAAATCTGGGCAAGAGTGGGGTACAGTCCTCTCCCACCTGGTCCTTGGAGGGGTGTCTCTGCATGCTGCTGTGTGCACTGCCCAGGTGAGTAAATCTGGATGGGCCAGGTCCCTTTGGGCTCTGATTCCCCATCATAAACTGAGGCTGTATGCCCATTCCCTAGAGTTGGGCAGTGGTGCTGGCTGAATCTGGGGGCCAGGCTGCCTTCTTCTTAGCAGGGTGGCAGCTGGCCTCCTTCCCCACTTCTCCCATTCCTATGTTCACAGGCAAGTCGAGGGGCTGCTGCTGGCTTCTTACTACAGGCCTTGGCTGCTGCCACCACTGTGGTCACAGGGCTGGGCACGGATGAAGACTGTCTTACTGGAACATGGGTGGCCACTGTCATCAGCCTGCCCCTTCTGGCCTTTGATTTCCACTGGGTGAATGGGGACCGGTCCTCTGCCAACCTGCTCCTGGGAGGAGGCATGGTGCTTGCAGTGGCTGGTGATCACCTTGGCACTGAGGGCCGATCGGTGGCTGGCCAGGCAGTAGTGATGGTGGTCTCAGTGACTATCCTCATTGTGGCCGTTTTCACAGCCAATACATCTGGGATATGGGGGGCTATGCTGCTGGGTGTGGCTGGTGTTCTGAGCAGGCTAGAAGATGACAGACTGCTCCTGCTGCCTAAGGAAGACGCCTGCCGCTGGGCTCTGGCTGTGGGCAGTTGGGCCTACCGCCAGGCCCTGCACACACAGCACTTGCAGTGGGAGTGATCACAGGGAGCCAGGCAGGTCCACACCTCCTTCTCACTACCGTGCTCGCTTTTGGGACCTCTTCCTGACTTTGGTCAGGGAGGGTGTTTGCCGAGCCAAAGGTCTTGCCCAGAACAGAGTAAGTGGAGGGGGACAGAGTGAGACACATTTTGGGGCTGGATACGGTTGTGGGTCACTGAGGGTTGGTCTTCAATAAACCTTAGGTAATCTAGAATCTGCCCAGTTCTTGATAGTACTGAGGCGCACTCCAGTAGGGGTCCAGGCAGCACCTCGTTCTCTGCTAGTCTGGCTTCCTGCAGGCATCTGTCAGAAAGACCCCTGCTTGGGAGGAGGATATAGTCCTGGGCTCTTGCTCTCCTGTGACATGGGTGCAGCTTCAGATATCCTGCCACCTCTGGGGTAATGACCTTCACAGGCCGCCGGGTGGGGTGGGGGCAGGGGAGGCCTACACCACTGTTGTACCCAGAAACCCACATCCTCTCTCTCCCTGGTTGACTCAATCTCTGCCTCTCCGCCCTTTGGCTTCACAGCGACCTCTGGCAGCCAAGATTAACTACCCCAAACCCTCACGTTCCGCCGTAGACAGGCCCCCAACCTTGGGTCCCAAAACTGGTTGGGCCAGAGCAGAGGGTTCCCCAGAGCAGTGCCTCTGCTGGCAGGCATCTCACGGAAGCCTATCAGGTCCCTCACAAGACACAAAGGTGCCGGCCCTCTCCAATCTGGTGAGCTAGAACAATCCCCCGCCCCGAAAAACTCAAGTCCTGGGGACGGAAGACGCAGCACCCCTCGACGTACAGGCGCCGAACTAGCACCACCCTGGCGCACCAAAGCGCAGCGATCGGCCACCGCAAGCGCTTGCCAGCCTGAGATGCCCGCCCCTTCGTGCCTGTCGCGGGCCCGCCCCCTTCCTGCCCACCAGCTGCGGAGGGGCGGGGCCCACGCGGCCGCAGACCCCCATTGGCCCTTGCGGTCGCGTCATCGCATCCCGACCGACCCGCTCATTGGTCCTGCGCGTGCTCACGTGACCGGGAGGCCCGAGGGGGCGGTGGCGGCAGGGGCCCCCTCCCCAGCGTAGCGAAAACAAAGATGGCGGCCGCGCCAGGGTCGGTGGCCACGGAGGCTGCGGGGGGACGCGCGGGCCGGACCCTGTGAGGCGGCGGCGGCGGGAGCGGGGGCAGCGGGGTCGCG